AAAAAAAACTGTTACGCTGCTAAAAATAATTGCGAACACTTAGATCCAACCAATACAGCAACAAAGTAATCACGCTCAAACAATCAACTAAGTCAGTCAGACTCAGAGGACGATGAACTAGAAGAAGATTCGTTCCTGGACCTCTTATCACGTACACTTCCCTCTTCATCATCTTCATCACTTGCCCCCCGATCGGTATCGTCACTAAAATAGAAAGAATAACTCCGATACTCATAACATAACCATTAACTTAAAATTCCAAGGTGTATTTACAGTGCGTTGAGCTAAAAAGCCGGAAGAACATGCGAAATGTAAAAATGAGCAAAACGGGATAAGAAAAACTCACCGTCTTGATGACTCCTCTTCATCGACAGCTGATGTATCATCCGTCTCTTCTTTCCTTGACCCGCTGTTCCTAGCCATTACTTTCTCAAGAAGCCGCTCCCGTATGGCCGATTCATCTGACGTTGATTGTGACGTATCAACTTCCATCCCTTCCCCCTAAAAACGTTACCGTAGCTTACCTAACCCAGAATAAAAAGAAAATAGATATACAATTACTAAAAATAAACATATAATATCTAAAAAAAAAACAACTGAATGACCTCCTCAATTTGTAGCTTAACGTCAGTACGTACAGCTTCTTTACTTTCCTTTTTTTTAGACTTCTCTTTACTGCGTTCCTTGTCTTTCGATGACTTCTTTTCTCGTTCCTTTTCCTTATCTTTACTGCTCCTTCTAGATCTCTCACTTCTGCTCTCCTTGCGACTTTTTTCTTTCTCCTTCTTACGATCACTCTCCCTCTCTTTCTCCTTTTTGCGTGACTAAAGATGAATTTGCAATAACACTTCAATTAAGTTGAACAACAAAAAAGAACTTGTCTTTTCTTTTAGCCATAAACGTTATTAAAATCAAGTTTGTACAACCTTCTCGCGCTCCTTTTCCTTTTCACGTTCTTTATCCCGACGATCCTCTTTCCTTCTTGGAGTCCTGCTATGGCTTCTTTTCCGATCTTTTCTTTCCTTCTCCTTCTCTTTTTCTCGCCGTTCCTGAAAACCTTCCCATATTCGGAAACATTAACTTAACAAGGTTCAATGGGTGAACAGTTATGTCCAAAAGTGCCAATTCATCTTAATTAAATACTTCTAAGGAACAGTTTTGAAAAATCTGCCCCTCTGATCAAAACACTTTCCCTATTTTTTAAGAACCGTACTCAAGAAAAAGAAAAACAAAAACCTCAGAGTTAGAATGTTTCTTGCAAAAGTTAGTAAAAGACACTGTAGACATTGAAAACTAACCTTCCTTTCTCTCTCCCTCCTCTCTTTGGAACGAGAACGACGTCGGTCACGAGAACGCGAACGCGAACGAGTCCGTGAACGACGCCTGCGGTCTCTGAAAGAAGACTTTAAGAGAATGAAAACACCACGTTGATGAAAAACGAAAACAATGGAAACAATCTAGAAGGAATAAAATAATGGATGAACTACAACAATGCATACCGCGATCTGCTGCGGTCTCGACGATCCCTTGACCGACTGCGCCTTCTGCGAGAGGATCTAAGCAAAAAAGCAGTAAGGAATTACTTGCACATCAAAAGTGAAATAATAAGAAAAGTATCAAAAAAAAAAAAAAAAAACCATCAAAAACAGCAAAAAATGCTTTAAATATATCTTACCTAGATCTGGACCTACTACGTCTTCTTCTATCTGGAGTCCTGCTACGCCGATGTCGAGGCGATACAGAACGACGTAGGGGAGAGTATGCTCTGTCGATACCTAAAAACAATGATACAGGAGTTGAGTAAACATAAGAGGCTACGATAGCATAATGCTTTTTATCATGAAAAAGTATCAGTTTCAGATTTAGAAATCAAATGCCAAAACACGGAATAAAAGTAAAAGTTCTTATTATCAGAAACCAGTCTGAGCAGGAGATACAGTAAACAACTGCACAAACAAAACTGAAAATTTTCTTTGGCTATTCATTATAATTCAAACCTAGGCCTTGATTCAATTTATTCAAAGCGCTTGTTGACTTATCCGGGTTTTGATTCACCCTAATAGCTTCTTCAACTTCTTGTAAAGCCATATCAGCTGTTTTACGCTCGGGTTTAATAATAGCAACCCTTGAATGTTGAATTCTAAAAAAAACAAAGTAAAAAACTCAAAGATGGCGCCTGAAGTGATCCATAGAAATTGGTTGCAAAAGAAAGCAGCAGGCATTAAAAATACTTACGGAAAAAATAAACAGAAAAATAGTTACCTCAAACAACGCCCTTTAAATTCAATACCGTTGTTCTGTAAGGCTATCGGTACAGACGGCTGATTCGTAAATTCGACATATGCATAAGCGCACGGAAGATTCTCAGTTCCTGAAGTCATACGCAAATACATTACCTGCAATATAAATATAAAGATTTGTCAGCTAAAGTTCACACAACAGCTAGTTTTCCCCCTTGAAAATACGACTTTCAAAGGGAAAAAATTTGACATCAACATATTGGATGAATTCTGTCTACACTGCCAAAATTCCGGTGCGCTACTTCACCAACCTTAATCCATCTCGAACTATTATGAGCATTCTATTCCAATATCATTGCTCTACCTATAAAACTGCTTCAATAAAAATATTCGTGAAAAACACAATTGTGTGACGAAGTGTTCACGAGCATCCAATTTTTTTTATTAGTTAAACTAAATAGAAAACGGTTAACCTCTCCAATATTGTCATTAAAGAACTGCATAACTTCTTCGCCCGTGCAGTTTTTAGGGATATTGCCCACATATACAGTTCTCCGAATTTCCTCAACTTTTGCTGGATCAGTAGTTGCGCTTAATGCAGGATATACAGGCAACCCTAATGCAGTCAAAGTCGGGTCTACAGTAAAAAGCTGCAAAAGAATAAACGTTACTGCATAAGGTCTCCAAAAACTGATGCAAACTGGCTAGCTAAAATTATAAACCATTTGCTGCCCGTCGCCCAAATCCTGAATCTGGTTGGTAACATTAGGCGGTAACTGACGTTTTCCCGGCCATGCTGGCCCTCCGGTAGTAAGAGCAGTTTCCTCATCGGGAATGACATCTGAAATATAACGTTATCAATATGAAAAGCTATACCAAATTGGGAAAAAAATTGTTTAATTAAATGTATTTAGAAACTCTAGCTACAAACAGGAATTACCCGAAATTGATGGGATGCACACCAGGGCTCTATCAATAAATACTGTATTAGTTAAATGCTGGGCCACTTCCACCGATTTAGAATCATCGAATTTAACATACGCAAACTTCTGAGTGAATGTTGATAATTGGGGGTGGTTATCCGTTGGGTACATCTGAAATACCCACTCACTCTATTCTAGATACGTTTCACTGGAAATTTCCTCATAATTTTAAACTATAAATCTTGACGTAAGCTTTACTGTAGCCCATAGCTAGCAATGTGCAAAATAATAAACTGGTCAACATCGGTCCAAAGTCTTCAGTTTAAAGATACCGTCGCAGAGAAGATTTTAAGTAGTTAAGCAAAGTGCAATCCGTAGCTAACTGTACCTTGAATTCGTCAATACGCCCAATAAAAGAAAACAGCTGGCATATTTGTTCACGAGTAGCAGTCATTGATATGTTGCTTACATGCAAGATGCGAAAACGCGGCTCTTCCGCCCCCATTGTTGCTGGAAAAAATAATTTCGTACCTATATATTCCAAAACACCAAAAGCAAATTGAAGGGACGAAGTGTAGTTTAGAACGCTAAGGACAATCCTGCAATTCACTAACGTGTGAATACAGTAACCGACATTCCCAAATAACAAGTAAATCTGAGGGAGACTATACAACGCAATACAACTTAAATTTTAGATAAGGAAAAAAATTCGCTGCATGCAGCGCATGTGAATCACTATTTAGAAAATGTTTTTATTTCCATTTATACTGCAACCAACTTACAAAAGAATGAATTGGGAGAAGAATTGGAAACCGCTTCGAAAATGCCAATAACTTATTCTGCCGATTTAATCTATTTTTTCGCTGCACAACTAGAGTGAAAAACACCGTACCAAGTAGCTCTTATAATTTTGGCCACAATGCTCAAAACTCAAATATTTTCGTAGGTATCGACTTAAGCCGCAACACAACATCTTACACTCAAATTAGCTTAAATCCTTCCCATGTAACCTGCTACAACACAAAATATATATGCAAAGTGAATGATGGGAAAACACAAAAATCTGATTTAGTCAGAAATCCATTCCAAAGAATACTAATTTGTATCACTCTCTTAAACACATTTCCATAAAGGTGTTTACAAGAGACTTTTTGGTTTTTATTTGTTCGATAAGTTTTTTTTTCAAAATTAGGTTATAAACTTTCCGCCCTGAGTAAGAATATGATTCGGCAATCAATCTAAATGTAAACGAGCTGATAACAAGAGAAAAAAAGCTAGAAGAAAGCACGTAAATGGCCATGACTCGAAGTCCAACCAATAAAACAAAACAAAACGAAATAAAC